TTTCTTTCTTGCCACTGGAAAGAAAGAAACTAAGTGGAAAGATACAGGACCATGCCAAAGCTTTGTAGTGGGATGGGGCAATCAGAAAAACTAACCAGAGGGAATAGTTCTGCTAAAATGACTGTTCAAAATAAAAGCATCCTTCAAACACGATCAGCAAGGTTGGGTTTGACAAGAATTGCAGGATTTTTGTTTTAAAAAAGAAAGAAATCAGGAGGTTGTGTTCACAAGACAGGTTAACTTTTGCTTAAGTCAACCCTAGTTTTGTAACCCATTCTGCTGAGTTGACCCAACACGTTGACTTCTATATGAAGCTCATGACTTGGTTGATACAAAATGCCAGGCTAAACGTATTAGGCTAGAAAGTTGTTAACTGTAACTTCTGAATCAGTTGTGTTGGGCGACCCTGTTAGCCCAGGAACAAAATAGTCATTGAACCGCAAATTACTTCTCGATATCATGCAATTGTCTTTCATACAAGAAGACAATAGGCTTGTCAAGAGGATGCGTGAAAGCAGTCTGAAAGCAATCCTGAAATGACTCTTAGATTCATGTTTGAATTCTGATGGAAAGGATGATCAGAATAACAGAGTTGGAAGGGACCTTAGAGGTCTTGTAGTCCAACCCCCTGCTCAGGCAAGAAGCTCTGTATTATTTCAGACAAAAGCTTGTCCGGTCACTTCTTAAAAAAAACCTCCAGTGATGCAACACCCACAACTTCTAGAGGCAGGTCGTTCCACTGATTATTTATTCTAACTTTCAAGAAATTTCTCCGTAGTTCTAGGTTGCTTCTCTCCTTGATTAGTTTCCACCCATTGCTCCTTGTCCTGCCCTCAGGTGCTTTTGAGAATAGCTTGACTCCCTCTCCTTTGGGGCAACCCCTGAGATATTAGAAGACTGCTATCCTGTCACCCCTAGCCTTTCTTTTCACTAGACGACTTCTTGTCCATCATCAGATCCTGTTGGCGATCCTATTTTTATCAACAGCCTCATGAAAAAGGGCTGTTGAGTTTTGTCCAAACCGGTCCCTTAGATTTTGAAGCCACGATGTTCTTCTTTGCCTTCTTTGCCTTCCTGGAGGATTAAGTGAAGCAGGGCGTATTTCATTAGACTGGACCTACCCAATTCCTGCAACCGTTCTTCGTCTCTTCGAGCCTCCAGTCCCCTAATCTTCTTTACTGCTCTTCTCTGCACTCTTTCTCAATATCTTTTTTATATCGCGACGGTCCAAACTGGATGCCGTATTCAAAGAGATCCTTGCAGTCTTAGAAAGAACTGGCTTTTCTGAAGTGTTCTTCTTCTGGGGGACCAGAAGCAATCAATCCTTCACCCCCCCATCTCTCTCCCTCCTAGAATCTCTGCCCTGTTGTACAGATAACGTTGCCCTTCCATGCTCTGATGAGGAACCATCATTTCAGGCAGCCGGTGGAAGGGGAGGGGGTGTTGGATGCCTCCCCCTTTTTTATTTTGCCTCCAGCTCTTACCCCGCAACATCTCAATTTCCTGAAAAATGCAGACTCCGGTAACGAGCCAAGCAGAGTGTCGTTTTGGCTTTTCGGGTGCCAGGAATGCCTTGGGCTGGCACCGTGGCTGCACTTGATATTTCTATAAAAGTTGCTTCGAGGTAATAGTCTGTGTAAATTCTGTCAGCAGCGCTTAATATCACATAAATAAAAAATTAGGGAGCTAAACCTACGGAACATGAAATGAGATAGGGCGCTGAATTCATTTTCTGGTGCCGAACAGAAAATTGAAGCAATTACAGTCAATTTGCAGAGGCTTAATGAGGAAACACCTGATTGTGAAGCAAGACAGGGCAGCAGCAGAAGCCTCCAGTTGCAGATGGGGTATGTGTGTGTGTGTGTGTGTTCCTAGCATTATTCCCACACTATGGCAGGGTGCAGTCCAGTCGTGTGTGTGTGTGTGTGTGTGTGTGATGTATATATGTGTCTGTCTGTCTGTCTGTCTATCTCTCCATCCATCGCCTGTCCTTCCTTCCTTCCTTCCTTCCTTCCTTCCTTCCTTCCTTCCTTCCATCCATCCATCCATCTTATCTGTCTCCCACACTATGGCAGGGTCCGGTCCAGTCAGGGTGTGTGTGTGTGTGTGATGTGTATATGTGTCTGTCTGTCTGTCTGTCTATCTCTCCATCCATCCATCCATCCATCCATCCATCTTATCTATCTCTGTCCTTCTATCCATATCCATCCATCCATCTATCATCTATCTATTATCTATCATTTATCTATCTGTCATCTATCATCTATCTGTCATCTATCTATCATCTATCTACAATCTATCTATTTATATTTATCTATCATCTATCTATCTATCTATCTATCTATCTATCTATCTATCTATCTATCTATCTATCTATCTATCTATCTATGGTATCTGTCTGTCTGTCTATCTGTCATAGGGTGGGGATAATGCTCCAAATCTAGGCCAACTCCATTGCTCATCCCACAAAACTTTCTGTGTGTGGCCCATCGTTGCAGTCAGCAAAAGGGGCCTCAACCCACAGCCGTCCATCTTGCATTCCCTTCATTCGCAAGACAAACATCCCTTGACATGCTAAGGGGCCCTGGGTGCTCTGTGAGCTTGCAGATGTTACCTAGTTTGGGTAATGAACCGTCTGCAGGAAAACAGCCAGGTTCAGAGAGCACGAAGGTCCCCTCGTTTCCACCCTGAGTGACAAATAGTCTCCCTTATTGGCTTGTCGTCATCATGGTCCTTTCTCTTTCCTGGCTTCCAGCTTTCATCTTTTTTGTGTGTGTTGGAGACCATTTCAAGGAGGTCCGCCACAGGCCACGTGGCGTGCATAAGAGAGCAAAGAGTGGCTTACCTGTGCGCGTGTCTTGTGTTGTCATTTTTTTACACACACACACACTCACACGCACACACTTTTGTCATGTTCAATTTCTCAGTGCCTTCGGGGTGACCCACGACCAGCAGTGGAAGCTGAAGGAGCAGCAGTTGAAACGGCAGATCGGTCAGCTCGAGGCGGCATTAAAAGCAGATTTAGCTGAAAAAAACAATATCCTGGACAGAATCAAAATGGAACGAGGTATCTACCATTTGCATGCGCCAATCGTGGCGATTTCCTTTTGAGTTTTAAGTCATGGAGAACATCCAAGGAACATAACAAAGGTGCAGTGTGCCAGGCCAAGTCCGGTCTGCTGTCCAATTTGTTTTTTCCCTGACTAGGTCAGGGAGAAAGAGGGGCGATTCTTCCTGTCTCCTCGCTGCTAAATCGTTTTAATGAGTAACAGGAATCCAAATTGTGGATCTTTTGGTTCAGAGTCCTTGGTCTCTCACTCAGTTCTCACCAGTCGGCCTCGGGTAGCCTGAATAGACCAATGCCAGAAGGTTCTTATGTCTATATATATATAAAAGCAAAATACCATTCATGCATCATGACGAAATCTTCAGAACCGTAAAGCCTACAAACTTGAAATTTGGCACATATGTTCCTCTTGGCATCTAGGTGCTCACTAAGAAAGGATTTTTCAAAATGACCATCAGAGCATTAATATTCCGTATATTATTATTAACACACTCTGATGCTAAGGAATTCTATTCCCCCTCCCCACCAGAAAAGAAATCTGTTCCAAATGCAAAACACAAGCAGAGGAGAGAAGTTTCAGTTTTAGTTTCACAGCACCAAGCAGCTTTAGTACAGAACAGTTGAGCTAAGCCACGCCCAGGCTCCTTGCTGTCTCCTACTTGCTCACACGGCAAATACTGTTTCACTTTCCAAACAGCCCTCAATTTTCTCACACACTGACAGGACGCTAGCCAGATGAATACCGATGGATGCTGGTAGACAGAGGCAGAGTTTTTTCCCCCCTTATTTTCCTCCCCACAAACAGCCCAGCCATATAGTTTCGTCGCGAAGCACGGGGATCGAGCTAGTAGAATATAAATGCAACGAAACCATCATAGGCCATCTTGTTGGACTTTTAAATGCCGATCTCCCTTTTCTGTTCGAGTGGAAGGCAGGTGATAATATTGAAATGAGAAAAGGCACAATTATCCCTAATCCCAGACAAAAATCAAAGTTCATACCCCTCAGGATTATTTATACACATACATATACATATACATACATAAATACATACATACATACACACACACACATATACATATATATATCTCAGTGGCTTTGATGACTCTCTCTTTGCAAATGCTCCTCCCCCCCATCCTCTCCTAAAAGGGGAACCCAAGTTTTAGTTCTAATTGTTGATGTTTCTTGTAAATCACTGCAAAGGAAGCAAGTTGGCTCTGGAGTTGATTGTCTTCTTCAGGGAACAGAGCCAGCTTGTCCTCTCTTGTCTCGATTTCATTTAGTGTTTGTCGGAGAGCCCTTCTGAAACTTCCCAAATTAATTTGGACAGTAAGAACTTTTTTGGGGATCCCTTTGCCTGCTTCCCAACTCAACTCAACCTTCTCTCTTCTCTCCCTTTACTTTTGCAAATGCATTTCAGGTTTTATTATCCTTTCGGTCGGAATATTTCAGCGCTGTTTTTTTTTTTTTTTAAGGCTGAAAAAATTAATTGCAGGCTCGAGAGCCCTTTTGTCTTCCAGTTCTTTGCTTCATGGAATGCAGGGGTTAGCAGCCTCCCTGTATTGATTACAGATGATAATATTAGTGCAAACAGCTTTTGACGGCTGTTGGTTTGATCGGTAGATTATCTTAATCTTTGTTTTCTTCAGAGCCTGTCCTTTGACAAGCCTAAAACCCCACGCTCAGGGGTTTAATTTTTGGGGGGGAATCTTATTTTAAATTAAACTGCAATCCCACCCGCCCCCAGAAGTTACATTCCTCCCTTGGAAGCATTTTATAGGTGAAAAAAGGTAGTTTCCGGTGTAGACCGCAATGGAGCCTTTCTGTTGCTAAGTGAAGCATTTCTTAAGTGAGTTTTGCCCAGCAGTGGGATTCAAAAAAATTTTTACTACTGATGTCAACTCATAAAACATTCCTATGACTGTTTTAGTAGTTGCCATAAAAAGGGGAGAGGGAGGAAGGAAATCTGGAAGAGCCGTACAGAAGTTTGAAAGCAAAAGCACATTCCAACTCTTATCTTTAAAAGGTTGTAACTAAACTACCGGAGCTTTTTCCCACCAATATATTTAATTGGAGAACGTGAATGATGACAACCAGCCCGTGAATGGGCTCAATTGGAGAATCTGGTTTATGAGACACCCAGGGGGGGGGGAGGGGGAAACAGGGTCACAGGGGACTGTAAATTACGTATGCCAGAGTTGGCTTCATAGAGGGCAGTGTCAGTATGTCGCCTCTAATAAATCCTTTGAAGTTTTTTGAAGTTTGGCTCGAGAATCATGATTTAATTAGGGCGATTGCTGGAGTCCTGACAACCGGTTCTGTGGGCGTGGCTTGGTCATAGCGTGGCTTGGTGGGTGTGGCAGGGGAAGGTTACTGGAAAATCCTCCTTCCCTCTCTACCCCACTAACCTGCTTTCCAGCTCCATTCTCCTGTGCAGGGCAACCAAAGAAGATCCAGCCGATCAGCTGGGACTCAATGGGAGGCAGAGAATAAATGGGGTTGGCAGGGCCAGTCAGAGGTGGGATTTGCCGGTTCTCCCAACTACTCAACATTTCCGCTACCAGTTCTCCAGAACTGGTCAGAACCTGCTGAATCCCACCTCTGGTTTTGCCCCATTTTACGATGTTTTCTGGCCATGGTTGCTAAGTGAATCACCACAGTTCTTAAAGTTAGCAGCATGCTTGTTAAGCGAATCCAGCTTCCCGATTGACCCGGCTCGTCAGAAGGTCACAAGAGGGGAATCACATGACCCCTCCCCAGGGACTCTGCAACTGTCATAAATACGAGTCGGTTGCCGAGCGTCTGAATTTTGATCCCGGGGTAGGCTGCAACGGCCGTAAGCGCAAAAAAACAATCATAAATTGCTTTTTTCCCCGTGCCGTTGGAACTTGGAACAGTCACTAAACGAATCATCACAAGTCAAGGAAGTTTTCTTAAGCTCGTTCCTTCAAACGGCCTGTTTTCTTCAGTTCCTGAATGGTCAAAACATCGGTGCTAAGCCTTGGATCTGAATAAGAGCCTGGGCCCTCCTGAAGCCCTTAGGTGGAGAGTCAACAGCCCCCAGGTCTGGAGGTGGCTGATGAGGAAGAAGAGGAACAGCTGGGTCCAGTGCCTGACGCATGGATGCTCAAAAGGCAGAGGAGAGGAGAGCAGTGGAAATCTATGGGCCGGTCCTTGGGACAGAAGAGCCACTGCCGCTGGTGAGGCCCCACCCTAGCTCTAAAAGGCAGAGGGTGGCGATAAATAGATGTGGCCGATAACTATTCATCTCCCTGCTCGACAGACTTGTTAGCCTGCGTTCAGAGAGAAAATTTTTTGCCGGGGCTGCTGGTGCTCCTAAGAAAGGAATCTTTGAGTTCCCTTCAGAGGGTCTGTCATGTTCGAGGAGCGAATTATTCCAAAGATGGGCCCATCCTCACCTAAGTAACGGCATAGTCCACTCTGTCATCTCAGATGGCATAGAAGCCCGTAGAACTGGTTGAATCCTCGCTGTTAGCAGCATGGGATGCGATACCTATAACTTAACTTAAACGCCTGGCAAGTTAAGCAGACCGAATGACCACTGTTGGGGTTCTGAGATTCTGCCAGGTGTAAAAAAAAAGACACACACACACCCCTTTTTTTTTTAGACCAAATTGAAAAGCTGTCCCAGGAGAACCAGGAGCTGCGAATGCTCTGTCTCGAACAGAAGCAACAGCTGCAAGAGCTGAAGTCCCGCATGCATTGTTTCACCAAGGTGAGTATTTTCCCCTTCTTGTTTGGAGAATGATTTAGAGAATTAAGAGGTTTTTTTTATTATTATTAATTTATAATGCATGACATACAAAGAGAATACAAAAGGAAATATTAGGGAAGTTAGGAAAGGAAAAAGGGAAGTGGATAGTGGGGGAAAGCAAGGGAAAAAGGAAAAAAACAACAGCACAGGCATTGATTTCCAACTCCTTTGGTGCCGTAGAAGGCATTAACATCTACTTTCAACTTTTTTACTTTTTCACAATAATAGAAACTAGCCATTTCTTTTTCTTCTTCTTAAAATTGTTTTTATTGCAAGTTTCAAAAATGCAAATCTCATTTATACTCATAACATTTTGGCATCGACAAATACATATATCCTGTATATCTTATTATATACATATCTACGTGAATAATCTCTTAAGAGCTCATGCCTTAATCTCATGCTCATCCATTCTTCCTAATCTTTATATCTAGTTTCTAGCCACTCATGAAACTAGCCATTTCTATAACAACAAATCTTATCTAATCGGTAAAACCCAAAATCAAAGGTTTTTTGTTTTTTTGCCACCTCAAGCACAAAGTCCAGAAGTGGTTTCCAAGTAGAAATAAAGGTATTTGTTGTCAGAGTTCCAACTAACAAACTCCAAACCAATAAACTTTGAGACAGGCATTTTCTCAAAGGTCCATTTTATTAGGGTTGTCATATTGGCACATCTGGGAAAACCCAAATTTGAGGGTTCAGGGTTTTCCCTTCCCAATAGAAATTCAAAGATCCATCCCCTGCACCCATCAATCCATCACATGGACCAATCAAATCATCGCCCCCAACTTGAGACCTTCCTCCAGACCCTCCTCTCCAGGTGAAGGGTAACTTGTCCTTAACTTTTCTAAGAAAGAATGTTGTTGAGTCTAATTGCCCAACTCTCTATGACCCCCCCCCCGATTCCCAGGCACTAAATGTGGCAGCCTCGAAGCTTCTAAGTGAAATATGGCTTCCAAGGCTGACATTTGTGTTTTTTTTTTCCTTTAATCAAAAGTATGAGTCTTTAAAAAGGGGTGGAGGGTGGGGAGGGGGGGAAGCTTTCTATATTTTATGCAAATGCTTCTTTCTTAAAAGCCCCAAACCGAGTAACGGAGGATACGACAGTCTTCATTTATTCATGCTGTCCAGCTGAATGTCATGTTTTGTCTGAATGCAAGAGAGAGTCTTCCCTCCATTATTCATTTCTTGAAGAGAACCTTTTTGTTACTTATTTCTCTTGTTTCAGGAGAAGGATGTCGATGTGGCCGACCTCAGTGAGGCTCTCGCGCTCCTCAAGGTAACAAGCCCAACTGGTCACAGCCCTCTCCTCACGCTTTTTCTCTTCCCACCCAATGGGATCTTGCAAACATCTGGTTTTTGAGATGAGTTCTTCTCATGCCTTGTTTGTGAGCTCATGTTTCTTTGCTGGAATGGGTCCACTGTGTTGTCTCTTTCTTCCAAAAAGACAGAAAGGTAGCAGGATAGGATCGGATAGGATATAGGAATAGAAATAGAAATAGAAATAGAAATAAAAATAGAAATAGAAATAGAATAGAATAGAATAGAATAGAATAGAATAGAATAGAATAGAATAGAATAGAATAGAATAGTTGGCAGGGACCTTGGAGGTCTTCTAGTCCAGCCCCCTGCTCAAGCAAGAGAACCTATACCACCTCAGACAAGTAGCTGTCTAGTCTCTTCTTAAAAACCTCCAGTGATGGAGTGCCCATGATTTCTGGAGGCAAACCATTCCACTAGATAATTGTCCTCAACATTAGGAAGTTTCTCCTTAATTCCAGGTTGCTTCTCTTTGATTAGTTTAATTTATTTTTATTTTTTATTTGGTTCGTCAATTGCTTACAAGATAATAGGTATAAGTAAAAACATAGTTATGAATACATGGATACACATCAGAAAAACAAAAGAAACAATAGGACAGGGACGGTAGGCACATTGGTGTGCTTATGCACACCCCCTACAGACCTCTTAGGAAAGGGTTGAGGTCAATAGTAGAAAATCTAAGGTTAAAGTTGGGGAAGAAACATTTTCTTCCATTGTTTCTTGTTTGATATTAAAATATTAATATATATTTAAGTTGGTGCATCCAAGATGATTCAGGCCTGTGGCTTTCATAAATATACATTAATATTAATATCAAACAACACAATGAGGAATTTTCAACTGCAGCTTCAATTCCAGGAAGAGAAAGTTCACTTACACCGATTTTGGTTTGTGTTAGTTCACTTTTTCCTGAAAAAAAAATCATCTAAGAAAGCTTCATGCACTTACCTTAAATGTAGCATTCTACAAGCATAGTGTCTTTTTCTCATTACTTCACAGACCTGTGTTTAACATCAGGTGCAACAACAAAGTCATTTGCAACACCTTGGAAGGGGTAATAAATCTGGCATAGCCTCACCCCTCCTGGCATCTTCCAGATGTGTACAATCTCGATTTCCATAATTTGCAGCCAGCCCCACCTGTGAGAATTATGGGAATTTTAGGCCAGCACATCTGGAGAAAGTCCCAGATTCAGGGAGTGGGCAGAGTCTGTCCAATCTCTAGTGCACCACAGATTATGCATTGATCTTCTTCCTGACGTAGGTAAACACCACGTACGCAGAATATTTTGCGTGCATCTGAGTTAATGCACGCGCAGATATACCAACTTGACAGCATGGAGTTTATAAACTGGCAGAACTATGAATTCCCGTGACGGGGAGATTTGCAATTCAGTTTGCAATGCTAACTAGAGGTAAATTCTGTTACCTTAGATATGCAGAAATTTGCAGCCTCAGTTTTTATCTGCAGATACCATACCAGCTCTCATTGAAATGACTCTTGGATTCCTTTGAACTCGTTCAAACTTATTTCTGAATAAAGATATGTATAGGATTTGGCTCAAAGCAGATTGCTAATTAGTTCTGAGTTCCACTTTTTTTTCTTTTTACCCCCTCAGAGCACCGAGAAAGACAGAAGCTTGGTCTTTCAACCCAGATTTATTTTAATGCTGAAAAGAGAGCGGTCCATTTATTACAATTAAAATGAAGGGGTGGGATTTTCTTTTTTTTTGTAAACTAATTATGAAGCTGTCAACTTTCACGACCTAGGTTCATAGACAGCAAGCAAGTGAACACCTCAGGTTTTTGGAGAAAGTAGACGGTGACAGCCAAAAGGATTTAGAGCGTTCCCTCCGTGATCTTCAGGCAGTTCATGCGGAAACCGTTCAAGAACTTGAAAAGACTCGCAATATGTTAATTGTGCAGCATAAAATTAACAAAGACTATCAGGTACTTAATTCTCTCACTGCCGTTGAACGTGAAGTATCTCTGTCATTGGGCTTGCCTCACTTGTGTGGTTTTTTTTTTTTAATCTCACAATGAAGATTAATGAATCCAATATTTTATGTGGTAACTAACCAAATCTTAATGAGTTGAACTCTGCTAGACTTCACTCTCGAAATAAACTTTTCATTTAAGAGTCTAATTCCAGCATGCGTCACTCCACCTCCCTGGTTTTTTTTTTTTTTTAGCAAGTAGTTCCTGTGCAAAAAATAAATCAATACTGTGATTTTTCTGACCCTGACCGGCCTAATTAAAATTAAATGTTTGGGTGTATTGAAGCCCAGCAAATAAAGGATCTTAAAAGTCAGGTTTGGTGTTGGGGATAAATGGCTTAATCCTGAGATTCGATAGTACAGACAAACATAAAGTCATTTTTTTTTCCTAAACTAGCCCCCATTTGAAATATATTCAGACATCAGTCATAACATTCTTATCCTGATGTTTCCTCAAAAGAAAGGGTGAATTTTCCCTAATCCTGTCACCAACCCAAAGAAGTAAAACCTGCTCACGGCTTCCCAACTTCTCAGAGCTTCCTCGGTTTTCTTGAAGAAGTTTCCTTACCCAGCTAGGTAACATCATCAGTGCTAAGGTGACCTGCATATTTACAGGACCGAATCTTGTCCAAGTCTATCAAATGTTGCATGACATATTTCCCAGTTCAGTGAATAAGGTTTCCTGCCCTTCTCATCTCCATCCTCCTGAATAATTACAAGATAATTTGGGATATAACAGAGAGACAGTTTTCTCCCAATATCATTCCACTGAGCTTGGGTTTTGTTTTATTTTCTTATTACTGAGTGGTATAACTTAAAGTTCAAGAAACGTCACCTCCTCCTCAAAACGAAAGCCTGTGACATTTGGCTTTTCTCTGCGGCATCTTATGATATTTTGCTGATTTCACAATCTTTATTTTGATTCATCAAGGAGACACATACAAAAGAATGCTCTTCCCAGTGCAGAATCTGGGATTCTTTGCTGCGCAATCAGGCACTTTTTTAAAATTCCAGAATATAATTCAATACCTCAAAGAGGCTTGGGAAGATCAAAAATTTGGCCTAATTGTCCCTCAGCCGGTAACTTTATCGGTATGGCACCTAGAGTCCTTCTGTGAGGGAAATGGGCGGTTTCTAAATTTGATCATTAGATAAATAAATCCCAGCAAGTTGGGGAAAAAAACCCCGATGGTATCGTATTAGAGAAAAGGACATTTGTGGGCAAAACTGCTTGGCACAAAACGTGGATTGGAGGCCTCACTTTCCATTCTTCCTTGCATCATCAGGCCGAAGTTGAATCCGTGACACAAAAAATGGAAGCTTCGCAGCAGGATTACGAGTTAAAGCTGGAGCACTACGTCCACCTTCTCGATGTTAGAGCTGCCCGTATTCGAAAATTGGAAGGTACAACGGCCAGAATTCTGAATTTATTGTAGAAAATCACTGTGGGGCGGGGGAATAGATATGGAGATGAGGAGATCGGCTCTCAGGTTCACCCTTCACCACAAATTAGAATGGAATGGAATAGGAATAGAATAGGAATAGAATATTGCAATGAAGTATAGGATAGGAATAGGAATAAAATATTGGAATAAAGAATAGAATAGAATAGAATAGAATAGAATAGAATAGAATAGAATAGAATAGAATAGAATAGAATAGAATAGAATAGAACAGGAATAGAATAGAGTAGAGTAGAGTAGAATAGAATAGAATAGAATAGAATAGAATAGAATAGAATAGAATAGAATAGAATAGAATAGAATATTGGAATGAAGGATAGGATAGGAAAACGAATAGGAATAGGAATAGTATATTGGAATAAAGAATGGAATGGAATGGAATAGGAATAGAATATTGGAATGAAGACTAGACTAGACTAGACTTAGGATAGGATAGAATAGAATAGAATAGAATAGAATAGAATAGAATAGAATAGAATAGAATTCTTTATTGGCCAAGTGTGATTGGACACACAAGGAATTTGTCCTGGTGCAAATGCTCTCAGTGTACATAAAAGAAAAGAGACATTCGTCAAGAGTCAAGAATCATCAGGCACAACACTTAATAATAGTCATAGGGTACAATAAGCAATCAAATCATACTCTGTGTGTTATGGATATAAGTTTAGAATTGTCAATTTCTGAGGAAGTAGCAAAGAAAAACGTAACCCCAGGGATGGACGGCTGGGGGTTTGCAGGGGTTTGGGAGCTAAGATTCTCTGCAGTTCAGAGAACTCCCAAATCCCACTCCTGGCTGGTCCCGCCCCACCCACCCCTCCCCTCCCAGGAGTCCCCACGTGGCCCGTTTTGGATGCAGGTAGGTGCAGGGCGCGCACAGAGGCTCAGGGAGAGCAAAAAAAACGGGCCTCCTGGAAGTTCGGGAAGGCCAGAAATGGGCCCGTTTCTGACTTCCAGAGACCCTCCGGAGCCCAGGGAGGCCATTTTCTCCCTCCAGGAGGCTCAAGGAAAGCCTCTGGAGGCCGGGGAGGGCAAAAACAACCCCCCCCCGCCGCCATGGTGCAGGAGACCAACTAGGCCACACCCACCATTGCCACACCCACCCAGGAACTGGGCAGAGAGCCCTTTGCTAACATTTTTGATAACCCCCTTCCTCAATTCCTGTTTGCCTCCTATTCTTTGCCTGAAACAGCCCAGTTGAAGGATATCGCTTACGGGACCAAACAGTACAAATTTCGACCCGACATGATAGCCGATGAAGCCATGGATGATTTTGATGAAACGGCTCACTTGGAAAGAGGCGAGAACCTCTTCGAGATCCACATCGGCCGGGTTGTGTTTTCCCCAGAAGCCGCCAGGTCTTTTGGGGACCAAGAGCCCTCCACCTTCTGTACTTACGCCTTCTACGATTTCGAACTACAGACCACGCCAGTCGTCCAAGGGCTCAGCCCAGCCTACAATTTCACTTCCCAGTACCTTGTGCGGGTGGATGACGGCTTCTTGCAGTATCTGCAGAAAAGCGCCACGGCCCTCGAAATCCATCTCGCTCACGGCATAGACTTCGAAACGGTGGCCGCCTGCCAGCTAAGGTTCCATGAAGTTCTGGAAAAAAACGGCAGGGTCTGTGGTTCCACCATCTTGATTGGTAGGGGTCGCGCATTGGCGTTGAAGTTGCATTTTGGATTGCTTTGGTAACTTGTTTAAAAACAAATATTATATATTTGGCAACCCAGCATCTATGGCGGTGGTGGCGGACCTATGGCACGGAGCCGCAAGTGGCACAAAGAGCCTTCTCTGTGGGCACATGCAACATTGCCCCAGCTCGGCTCCACCACGCATGTGTGCGTGCCTCCAACTGGCCTTCGGATCTCTGCCACGCATGCACGGGACGTGGGGGCACATATATGGGGGGGCATGGAGCATGGGGGAGGCATGCACTCATGCACAGGATGCACCTTGCAGGATACACTTTGGGCACTCAAGGGTTTTCTGTCCAACACAGTTAGGAGACATTAAGTTGAGGGCAGGCTAAATCCATCTGGTGATTTTTGGCAAATGAGTGATTTCTTAAATTAGAAGAGGAAGGCACAATATTGCAGTCTTGTGCACTTCTACTCATGATTAAGTTATGCGGATTTCTGCGAAGCTAATCCATGAATTAGTGTCACTTAACTGATCATGCATTTATAAATGCGTGTTTACCAGCTTGTGTTCACATGAATTAAAAAAAAAAACAGCCCTTCTTTTGATATAGAGAAAATAGGTGTTATTGTTGACATGTATTAGGTAGCTAAATCGATTCCATGCTGTTATCGTTAAAATCGGTTGAGGAAGGTTAGCACTCCAAGAAGTTGGAGTAAAAGGGTAATAGTTATTCGTTAATTATGAATGGCTCCATATTTCTATTGGATTATTTCGTGTACAAGCCAGGTCTTGTTTCAATAACGCCATGTCAATATGAAATTACATTGTATTGTGCATAATTATGGTCTCCTTAAGGCCCAGAATCCTTTTAGATTGAAATAACGTCGTTACAAAGCATTAAAATACCTGCTAACAGAAAGCATGAATTTAAATTCATCAATATTTATTTATTCACCCAATTAAATGGCTAGAAGACTAATGATAAAGTCAAACGTCGGTCATGTTTATGGGCCTGACTGCTTTTGTGTAATGTGTAACAACCACTGAGAAGTAATTTACATTTATTAACATAAGATTGTCCATAGTGTAGGCCAGGGGTCCCCAAATTGGCAACTTTTAAGATTTGTGGATTTGAATAGCAATAGCACTTAGACTTATATACTGCTTTATAGTGCTTATAGCCCTCTCTAAGTGGTTTGCAGAGTCAGCCTCTTGCCCCCAACAATCTGGGTCCTCATTTTAGCCACCTTGGAAGGATGGAAGGCTGAGTCAACCTTGAGCCTGGTGGGATTCGATCTGCCAAATTGCAATGGGAGTAGCTTGCAGTACTGCACTCTAACCATTGCGCCACCGAGGCTCTCTATGCTAATGCCCATGGTAACTAGGGAATTCTGGGAATTGAAGTTCACAAGTCTTAAAGTGGCCAAATTTGGAGACCCCTGCCCTGGCCTAGATAGCAGAGCAGCCTATCTTAACTCTGGCATGCAATTACTCCCATTATGACCATGCGTTGTGGTGGCGCAGTGGTTAGAATGCAGTACCGCAGGCTACTTCTGCTGACTGCCGGCTGCCAGCAGTTTGGCAGTTCGAGTCTCACCGGGCTCAAGGTTGACTCAGCCTTCCATCCTTCTGAGGTGGGCAGAATAAGGAGCCAGATTGTTGGGGGCAGGAAGCTGACTCTGTAAATTGCTTAGAGAGGGCTGTAAAAGCACTGTGAAGTGGTAAATAAGTCTAAGTGCTATTGCTATGAGGCTCACGAAAACTAAATACCACCCCGTGTTTAGCAACTGATCATCTTGTCCTTAGAGAGAAAGGCTTGTTAAACCTCAATAAATCTGGATTCCGTGTTGTCGTCGCAATGATTGCAACTAACTTTGATGATCTTTGAGGCTGGCCTTTTTGACCTTGCAAACGTGCGTGAACTTTGACTTGTAGGCGTCGGCAGAGAAATCCAGAATTACGGCACCGTGGAATATTGGGTCAGGTTAAGAGTTCCCATGGACCAAGCAATGAGGCTGTACAAGGAGCGGGCCAAAGCCCTTGGCTATATCGCCGCAAATCTAAAAGATCAGGCAAGTGTCAACAGTTTTTTTTTTTTTTAAATGTATTATTGTGGTTGTCTCAGATACACTTGTCTTCCTGTACCTGCTGATGCCGGAATCAACAAAGCATGTTGCTTTGTTTAGTTTTCACAGTTTCTAGAGCAGTGGTGGCTAACTTTTGGGGGTTCCTGTGCCAAAAATTGCGTGCAATGCACGCAGGCCCTCCCCCCACGCCCCCAGCACCCCTAGACCTCCTCTGGGCGAGGGCTCCCATGCCAGCAGTAATAGCTCTGCATGCCGGCACGCATGCCCTAGGTTCGCCATCACGGTTCTAGAGTCATTCCCTGTTTTTTCAGGTCCTGTTCAACCATGGTGGCAATCCCTATGTGTGGGTCCTCCTTCCAGCTACACAAGGAATCCCTGTAGATATTCTTACTGGTGGTTTTATCCACATTCACATTCTTCTGAATCATAGCAGGATTTTTTTGGATTAAATACGAAGAAACATAAATTGTAATTTTTCAAGCAGGGTATATAAACCCACCTGGAAGTGATCTAGAAAAAAAACGGTGAAAAAAACTAAAAAACTCATTTAATAACTGTCTTGCTTAACAGTATAAATATGGAGGCTCAGTGGTAGGTTCCTGGTCGAGAATTACTTGGGTATAATTTCCTGGCCCTCTTTTGTCCACGAAGCAAAT